CACTAAAAACCTGATTTGGCTGCTTTATTATTGCTTTTTGGTATTTTTAAAATATTAATTTCTTTTTTATTAATAATAAATTTTATTAATAATAATTTTTTTAAAATTATAGAGAAAGGTATAATTAACTTTATACTTGGTTGAAAACTCATAATCCAGAGTTAACACTTAATATTTTGAGGTATTACTTTTCAATGACCAACTTAAAAAATATATATACTTGATGTTTCAAAAAAGTCAGGGAGATACTGAAAGGAAATGATGCTCAAGACTGCATAAGATTCTTTTCGTTTTCTTTCTTTCTTTCTTTCTTTTTTTTGGTGGCTGACCGGTTCAGGGATCAAACCTCGGTCCTTGGTGTTATAAGCACCACACTCTAACCAACTGAGCTAACTAGCCAGCCCATAAGATTCTTATTTCAAGTGAAGGACATATGAATAAAATAAAGTTCAGGAGAACCATCACTTCTGGACACATTAGTCAACAAGAGTCATCAAATGTCATTAAAGCTTACTGAATTATGCTGGGGATTAAAGATTTAGCATTCTAATTTGAGTTTTTTTTTTTTTTTAACTGAAGGCTCATGGTCTTTGACTGAAAAAAGAACCACCACCATTTTTAAAAATATAAATGAAAATTAAGGAAACAATAACATGTTTTAAAATAATTCAACAGAGAATGGGATATGAGAAAATGCTGAACATCTTTTTAACATTTCTTAAACTTACAATTGTATTAATGCAGTTACAAAAAGAAGATATTAATCCTGTTAAGAGAACACATACCTTTAACAATTATTACTTATGTGATCCGAACAGAAGGTAATCAGATTTCAGACAGGTTACTTTATTTAAATAAATATAGACTAAGTACAACAAGATGTGCCAGGCACTGTCGCAGAGGGTATTTGGTGGAGGGAATAAGACAAACATAATGACTCTAGAGAAGAAGGGGAAGAATATGAATTATATTCCATTCCACTGGAAAGTCTGAACCCCTGGAAAGCTGAGAATATGTCATTATCTTTGTATTGTCAGCACCCAGCTGGTGCCTGGCACATTATCAAATGTAGCACTCAAATGACATATTTGTTGAAAGAATGGATCAATTTTAGCTACATGGATTATTAGAAAAGATGTTGGCAGTCTCATGGGTGGGGAACATAGGTTCAGGGAACCTTAGAGTTTTTAGCAGCACTGAAGTTTGGATCACAGTTTCCACATAGATTTTAATCATATCTGATAGGACTTTCTGGGACTAACACGGAATCCTTACTCTTTTGAAATGAAATGGGCTTAAGAGTAAAGCAAAAAGAGTAATCATATTTTTAAGTAAGGGCTAGAGGGTCCCATCTCCAGATTCAGCCATGATATCAATACCAAGCCTGAAAAGGTATCTAAGGACTTTCTGGGACTAACACGGAATCCTTACTCTTTTGAAATGAAATGGGCTTAAGAGTAATCATATTTTTAAGTAAGGGCTAGAGGGTCCCATCTCCAGGTTCAGCCATGATATCAATACCAAGCCTGAAAAGGTATCTAATCTTTTTATTACTATTTAACTCTGTCATAATGACTTTATAATCTTAATGTCATACACTGTCATGTAATCTTAATGTCACAATGAGTTCATACTCTTAATCAATCAATAGCTTAATAAAAATAAGAAAATAAGAAAACTAACCTTCCACATCATCAGGGCTGCCATCATAAAAGGACTAAATACAGTCAGAAAGCAATAGACAGAGGCAAGATCAAAGCTAGGGAACCATAACATAAAGAAAAGTAATTTAGAATACACACTGCAACTTTAAAGAATGTTTTGCTAAAAAGTATTTTGAAACTAATTCTGTGAAATCTGCTTACTAAAACATAAGCATATATTATATCAAGGAATATTATGAAGTCACTAAAAACAAACAAGGTAGATTTGAATGTGCCAATACATACCAATCTCTAACTCAGTATAAAAAGCAAGGTACAGAACAAAAGTTATAGAGGACCAATTTACATTATTTTTTGGTTATATATATGTTGTTTTTATTTAAAATTACCTGTTAATAGAAGCTACATTTCCAGTTCCAAAAAATGCTGTCACTAAGAAAAAAACCTAAATAGAGTTAAGGAAATGCTAAAACGAGTCAGAATTCATACAAATTTTTTTCGTTTAGAAAAGATACATTAATTCTACCATGACAATAATTTACTTTTACTTGTACATTGATCATGTTGTTTAAAATAAATGTTCCGCTGTGTTTTTCCCTCTGTGCCTGGCTTATTTCACTTAACATGGTTTTCTCCAAGCTCGCCCATGTTGCTGTGAATGGCAGGGTTTCATTCTTTTTTGTGGCAGAGTGGTGTTCTATGGTGTATATGCGTATATATACCACATTTTCCTTATCCAGTAGTCTGTCAGTGGCCATTTGGGTTGGTTCCATATTTTGGCTGTGGGGTAGTGTTTCATTGTGGATCTGATTTGCATTTTCCTAATAAGTAACGATGCTGAGCATGTTTTCATATGCTTGTTGGCCGTTTGTGTATCTTCTTTGGAGAAATGTTTATTAAGGTCCTTTTCCCATTTTTTGAAATAAATAAATAAATAAATAAATGTTCCACTGTATCTCCTTGTGAATGCATTTTGAAAGAACCAGATTGAAGCAGCAACATAGTGAGAACAATGAGGCCTTGGGGGTCATCTTCACGTGGTCACAAGTAACCTTGGGGAGGTTATTTTCCTCTTCCCTAACATGAGCAAGGTGGATCGTATCTGAAGCTGGCTGCTAATGATTTTTTCAAAAGAAGTATGGGGACCTAGTGCATATGGTAGATATTCAGCTGAAAGATACTTTCAGCTCACATACGCTTGCTGTATGACCACTACATGTGAAACACATGCTAGGCTCTTTGAAAGTCTCAGAAAGAAATAAGACCTCATGTTTTAAAATAACTCAGAGAATGAGATATGAGAAAATGCTGAACATATTTTAACATTTCTTAAACTTATATTTGTGTTAGTACAGAAATAAAAAGTAGGTATTAATGCTGCTGGTGTCCAAGAATTTACTGCTAGTAAGTACTTAAAATGGTGCTTGGCAAACTGAATGGGCTTGATAAATGTTAACTATTTTTTTTTATTATAGACACACACACAAAAGTGATATAGAAACACTGAAGAGGAAGTATGAATCATGACAACTTTCAGTGAAAAAGTGGCATTTGAGTTGGTGAGTTGCGCTTAAATGTATAGATCCACTCTTTCAACCAATCAGCTAACCAACCAACATCTGTCTAGTATATATCAGAGACAGAGCTAGGCACTAAGAATATAAGTACAAATAAAATAGTCTTAAAGTATTCATATAGAGATGAAGGTTATCATAATATATAGAGTAAATGAGACATTTTAAGGTAAAGAAACGGGGAAAATAAATGATATAGCCAAGAAACATTAAATAGGTATAAAGAGAGCTTAGGGTTTATTGAAAGATACAGTGATAGATGAAGCCAAGAAATATAGATTGGTGGCATATTAATAATAAGCCTTCTGCATTAATGTGGAGACAATGAAGAGTAGCAAACATTTTAGGTGAATAGCATAATCACGAAATACCAGTGACTGTATGATTCTTGGATTAGAGAGACAAATAGCTGGAGGCAGGAAATCCATTTAGGAAGCTATTTCAGTAGCCCATGTTAGAGATAAGAAGCCTGAACTGGTGCAGCAGGAGTGGAAATGGAGAATGAGCCTTTAGAAGTAGACAAGGAGCAGTTAAATATGACAACAAATTTGGAGACCTAGGTGGTTTAGAGTATGATGATGCCATTAAATGAGATGAGGCCTGCCAGAAAGGGTGACTTTGGAGAGGAGTAGCAGTTATTAGTCTCAGCAGAATGTGTGACACGTGGTTCTTGAGGTCAGGAGAGTGGTCAAGGCTAGAGAAGTAGATCTCAAGGTTGTTTGCACAGAGATGTCTGTCAAAGCTATAGCAGAGGAAGTCATTAACCAGGCAAAGTAAGAGGAGAAGGTTAATGACAGAGCTTGAAGAAAATACATATGGTTCAGGATCAGGCAAAGGAAGAGGTTTTAGAGACGAAGGATAGAGATGATATGAAAAGCTAAGAAGAGAACTTGGATTGTGTCCTGGAAGTCAGGGAAAAGAAAGAAAATCAACAGAATTGAATGTTATAGCATGGTCAAATAAACCGACTAGATTATACTGTGCAATCAGGAAGCCCTTGCAGCCCACTGAGAATATAACTTCAGCAGAGACATTCGACAGATATTGATAGAGCGCTACTATGGGCCAGGCACTGTTATAGGCTTGCGTTTATAGTACACAAATGGGGAGAAATAACAGCAGCAACTATAGATTTTTCTTTCAAGAACTTTAGTAGCAAGTGGAAAAGACAAAATGAAGCTATAATTTAGGAGAATGCAGGGTTCAAGGGGAAAAGTGTTTTATTAGTATTGGCTAAGTGTAAGAAACCTGTGAAGAGAGAGAAAGCAAAATTGAAAGTGAAAGCAAGAGGTAGAGAGGAGACAATGAGAATGTTTATTTTCTGAACCTGAGAGGTCCAGACACTGCACCACAGTAAGTTCAAAGGAAATACCTGCAATACTTAGAAATCATATATCTGATAAGAGGTTAATATCCAAAAACTATAAGGAATTCCTTCAGCTCAATAGCTAAAAAACAAATAACCTGATTAAAAAATGGGCAAAGGACCTGAATAAACATTTCTCAAAAGACATACAAATGGCCAACAGTTATATGAAAAATTGCTCAACATCACTAATCATCAGGGAAGTGACAATCGAAACCACAATGAGATATCACCTCAGACCTGTTAGAACAGCTATTACTACAAAGATGAAAGATAACAAGTGTTGGCAAGGATGTAGAGAAAAGGAAACCCTTGTACACCGTTGGTAGGAATGTAAATTGGTGCAACCATTATGGAAAACAGTATAAAGATTCCTCAAAAAATTAAAAATAAAACTGCCACATGATCCAGCAATCCTACATCTAGATGTATGTCCAAAGAAAATGAAATCAGTATCCTGAAGAGATATCTGCACTCCCTTGTTCATTGCAGCATTATTCACAATAGTTAAAACACAAAAACAACATGAATGTCCATCGACAGCTATATGGGTAAAAAAATGTCTATATATACAATGGAATACTATTCAGCCTTTAAGAAGAATGAAATCTTGCCATTCATAACAACATGAATAAACCTGGAAGACGTTATGCTAAGTGAAATAAGCCAGGCACAGAAAGACAAATACTGTATGATCTAACTTATATGTGTAATCTAAAATAGTCAAACTTAGAAACAGAGAATAGAATGATTGTTGCCAGGGGCTGGGAGAAGGGAGAAATGAGATGTTAATCAAAGGGTACAAAGTTTCAGTTATGCAAGATGAATAAGGTCTGAAGAGCTAATGTACAGCATGCTAACTATTGTTCGTAATATGTATCGTATACTTGAAATTTGCCAAGAGAGTTGATGTTAAGTACTCTTACCACAAAAAAAAAAAGAAAGAAAAAAGAAAATGGTAACTGCGTGAGGCAATGGATATGTTAAATTAGCTTGATTGTGGTGATAATTTTACAATGTATATGTATATCAAAACATCAAGTTGCAAACCTTAAATATATTCAATTTTTATTGATCAATTATACTTCAATAAAGCTGAAAAAATAAGAAATAAAAAAAGGAAATACTTCCCTATGAATCTCCTGAAGTTGGTCAGTCAGCCTTCCCAAAGTGAGACCTTATTATGCTATACTATCTTTCAAACTTCTAATACTAATAACTTTTATGACATTGCTTCTGATGTGATCCAAAAACCCTTGAGACAAATGTGTATCACATGAGTTTAGTATACAACATACATAAAAGGATACAAACTCATAACCACTGTTTCTTCTTGAGTGAAGAAAATTAAATTGAAGTTGGGAGCTGAAAGGAGACTTTAGCTGTAACGTTTTAATTTTTAAAAAATATATGAATATGTGACAAAATATTGTTGATAGTTTGAATGAGAGGAACACACACATTTGTTATATCACTTTATACTTTTTACAGTTAAAAAAATTTTTTTAATATGAACTATATAAGAAAGGTGCTAAATGGCCTCTAAGAGAATACCATCATCAAGAAATGGGCAGAAACGCCTTCTGTGTCTTCTTACTCCATTAAAACTCCATAGGAGGTTGTAGCTCTTCAAACAAAAGTCCCAACAAAGGATACAAGAAAAAAGGCCCTACGGATGTCATCCAGACAGAGCTGTCGAAACTGAGTTATATCAGTATTATAGGAGAACTGGATACTGGTAAGCTGTGAGATAATAAAAAACATATTAATGCACAATAACAGTTGACTTCTACACTCAAAGGCAAACTTACAACAACTAAGTACAAAGGCTAGAAACATACCCTGTGCTGACAAAAAAAAATCAACAATAAATCTTTCCCTATAGCTTAATTATATCTTAATAAAATCTGCCGAAATGTAAAATATGTTGTTAATAACATACTGAACAGAGCAGTAGTGTTGGTGCAAGTGTAATAAGAGTGAGAATTGGACTTTTTCTTATCTTAAACTTGCCTTCAGTTAAAAAAGAGAATTTAAAAAGTGACACAATGACCTTCAATTTGCCTGCTGAAATATTTAATATTAAGGACAGTCCCTGACCATTTACATAAATCTGATCAAAAATGCTTTTCATGTTTGCTTTAATATTCCAGGGCTGAAAGTTAAAAAACAGTAATTATTTGATATGATTCAATAAAGTTTCTCCTTTGTTGAAATTAACTGTTCTGAATTATCAATTACTCTCTATAAACTCAACTGGAAACAGCTAAGGACAGATAATTATGAAGGTATTTTTCTGCAATACTCATTTTATCTGACCTCAGTAAAGTTGTAAATATTCTATCACCAATTCTCAAAATTACCTTCAGTTCTGCAAAAGACAAAAGACATCAATTTAACTTTCTAGTTCAGCATGATAAATGTGCCCTTAAAATTTGGTTGGCTTTAGCCAATTCAAAGCATACTGTGTTGCATAAACTGCCTAATATTTGGACTGAGGCCCCAATCACTAAGGTAACAGAATAAGCATTTCAGATTAGGTTAACTAGAAAGAGAAAAACAACAGTGGGAACTTAAATGTCATCTTATGATCAAATTCATAAATTGATTTGTGACATCAAAATTCTTCTGACTAAAATAAATTGACAGAAGGAAAAACTGGATGAGAAAATAGTAAAGAACATTCTTTTCTGATCTCTTCCTTCACTTATATTGATGTCTTTTGTATCAGTGATTCTCAAGTAATCACTAAGAAAAGCCCAACCCATATATTGCCTTTAAAACAATAAAATTGTGCTTTCCTGTGATAAGTAAAAAATTTCCTTATAAATTAACAGTTAACTTGATTACTAATGCTAGATAAAATTTACAAAAGTTCTTTAAACATTAAAATTTTAAGCAGGAAAATTTCTGATGAAATAACACTGCAACTTGCTCATAGAATAGAGAATAGTTTAATAGCCTCAAATAAATGCAACAATGACTATGACAAGCTACCTTTATTTTACAGGAAACACCAGACTGTTGTAGGGTTTCTTGTTCCATGTGTATCCAGACAAACATCAAACATGACAATACTAATGGAAAGAGAGCTTCGTACCTAGGGGGTGGAGAGTGTGAATGAGGCGAACGGTAGAAATGAAAAGGAAAAAAAAAATTAAATAAAAATGCAAATTTATACTGAGAAGTCTTTTTTAAAATTAAAATAATTTTGATAATACTTCTAAGTTATAATATCCCAAATTAAATTTTCTAGACTTTCCAGAAGAACAAAGTAGGAAAGGAAAGTAACTTAAATTTTGACTCTAGTGCCACCTTTTCTGAATTTATTAAGTCTTCAGATAATTATATGTATAAAATAGTAGAGATATTTAAAATTCATTCATATGATGGATATATATATAAAACAGAAAAATATTAAGACAAAGGTAAAAAGAGAATTCCTGAGGTAAAATTATTAATATATGTAGAAGAACAAGATCAACATCCAAAATTTTCTAAAAAATTCATGCAATACAGAAACACAAAACTCAAAAGAAAATAAAAGGACCGATAAACACATGAAAATGTTTGACTTTATCGATAATTGCTGTGGGAATTAAAACAACTGTGTGTTTATTTATGTTTACCAATATTAAATTAAAATGTTGACAAGAGTGCATGAAAAAGGAACTCTCATACTCTCTATATAGGAATATACACTTTCTGGAAGACCATTTAATATTACATATCAAGAATCTCAAAAATATTCATATGTTTTCATATATTATAATCCAATAGTGCCATTTCTAGGACTTTATCCTGAGAAAATAAGCAGACATATGTACTACAATTCTCATTATTAAAGATGTTCGTTGTGAGGGCCGGCCCCGTGGCTCACTCGGGAGAGTGCGGCGCTGGTAGCGCCAAAGCCGTGGGTTCGGATCCTATATAGGGATGGCCGGTGCACTCACTGGCTGAGCGTGGTACAGACCACACTGTGCTGAACCGGTCAAAAAAGAAAAAAAAAAAAAAAGATGTTTGTTGTCATATTGTTTACAGAAGGAAAAAGAGAAAACAACCTACATGTGGTTAAATATTGAATGGTACCATCTATAGGCTGGAAGGTAATATGGACACAAGAACAAAGGAGAAATGTTCATGAGAGAATACAGTGACTTTTCTAAACCATTTCTACCCTAGGTTAGTGTAAGTGTTCCACTTTGTAATCCCTAAACACTCTATTATAGAACTTAACATGCTATCTTAATCACATGTTTACTTGTATGCACCTCCTATTAGTTCATAAAATCTTTGAGTCTGTGTCTGTCTTGTCATCACTGCAGGCCCACTTCACAAGAAGTATTTGTTGTATGAGTTACTGACCTAATGAGAAGTTACAAAACAAAACCTACGTCCCTTTTCAACAGCTGAACCCCACACTGTATGGCACTGTTTCTTAGATATGAGAAAGCAAAAGAAACAAAATGCTTTAAACTCTACCACAGATCATAAACTAAAACACTGCAGACTGGGCAGAAAGAAGCATTTAGGTTTGAGAAAGCATACATTAATCACTTGGTATATAAGATTTAGAATGCTCAAAGATATGAACAGATTCTACATATATGAGAAATATCATTAGTAAAACAAGTACAGAAAACTACAAAGCAGTACCATTTTTGGCCTATTAAAATAACACTTGATATTATTCTTTAAAAATAAATTTCAAATACTGTTAAGGATATGAGAAATAGCACCTCTCATAGTTTGTCAAAGATTATAAATTGGCACTGTTCTTAAGACAAAAGTTTAAAAAAAAAAGTTCATACCCAATGATCCACCTATACTAATCTATTGAGAAGCAGACAGAGGAAATAATCTAAACTATGTAAAAAGCTTACGCATAAAAACATAACTCAATATATTATCTGTAATAATAAAAAGCAGAAATAGATAAAATGATCAAAAATAGAAGAATGGTGGAATCAAGGTGCATCCACATCATAAAATATTAAATATCTATTAAAATGGTGACAAGGAAGCTTATAAGCCACCTGGGAAAATGCTTCTGAAAAACTGTTAAGTAGAAAAAAAAAAATACAAAATAGTACATGTACTATGATTAACCCTATGTTAAAAAAGATACAAACAGAGCTAAGACTAGAAAAAAATATACCAGAACACCAAGAGGAGAAGTAGAGTTAATAAATGATTTTCTCTCTCACCCTTACTTTCCAAAATGTGGTGATACTATTTTTACAATGATTAAAAAAAGAGTTGGGGCCGGCCCGGTGGCGCACTGGAGAGTGCGCCGCTTGAGAGTGTGGCGGCGCTCCCGCCGCGGGTTTGGATCCCATGTGGAGACCGGTTCCCGCTCACTGGCTGAGCATGGTGCGGGTGCAACACCGAGGGTTGCGATCCCGTTGCCGGTAAGTAAAAAAAAAAAGACAAAAAGGAAAAAAAAAAAAAAGAGTTGAAAAACAAAGATTTAGAATGCCTATATCCTGGCCATTGTTTAAAATGCAGTTCAACCTCCACATGAATGTTTGATGGCACCAATTCAGCTCCCCTACTCCAACTCTCTCTCTAGACATTCTTCATATCACACAATTCACAACTTAATTCACAATAACTTAATTGTTCCATTTCGTAATTGTATAACATTGTAAAATACAGTCTTCACTTTGCAGCTACTTATAGCTCAATTGTATGTCTTTTAGTACAGTAATTTTTTCTCTGTATGCCTACATAGTGCTCAGGACAGTAAAGATATAAAAGAGAAAACAATTGTTGACTAAATAAATCAAGAAGGTGCATCTTCTGAGCAAAAGGGAACAATGGTTTCTTTAAAATATTCGCAGTTATATAAAAGTTATTCTTTCTTACTATATAAAAACATAAATTCCATAGTTCTACAAATAATGCTATACATTTATTTTCTTTCAAAAACTATACATTATGATCACTTTCTTTTGTAAAATGTAGATAAACAAATCAGATAAAGACAATCTTCTTATGGGACTTTACCTCTTAAGACAATCAATATTTTGTATAAAGTCTGCATATCTGAATTAATAAACTGAAATACCAATAAAATGTCATCACAGGCTCAGAGAGAACATAATGAAACCTTACTAAATTAGAATCAGCTGGTTTGATCTCTGTGCAAACTGAATAGGGCTGACAAGGCATTTAGCTTTGTATTTGCTAAGCAAAAGAATAATATCAACAAAATTTCAGAGGGAAATGTTTGACCAACTTAAGTGAACAAACTACTTTCAAGTATTGCAATAGCTTCCCTTTGCATAAAATAATTAAGTGCTGGTTAAAAATGAATCTTCCTTATTTATTAAATTAAGGATGCATTGTTAGAATTTAGGATTACTGTGTCTCTGTAATAAAATAAAATTGCGTTTCTTTTAAATACCCTGTAATTCTGAATATTCACTAATTTACATTGAAAACCCTTAAGATCATCCAAAATAGTGATGCTGAACCATAACAGGTGGACTACGTTATGCAAAACTGATTTGACACTAAAAAAAAATACTAATTGAAATTATTACACTGTGCTACTTTGAAATACCCTTTTGAATTTTTTGGCAAAGCTAAATATAGTTTCTGGTGTTGAATAATATATCTCTTAATGCATTCGTTAATAAGATCATACTCAGCATCAATATTCTGATTTTAGGCATGAACTATTCACTTTTTAAATTTTCTTAAATTAAATATACTTATTATAATCTGTTTTGGTATCTCTCATGAATATTAAATTGATGATTTAAACACTACAATACTTATCCCCAATGTAAGTTACATGATTAACTCACTCTACATTACAAAACAGTTTTTTCACTCAAAATTAAACTTTAACTATTCTTCCTTCTTTCCTTCCTTCCTTCATTTCTAATCCAGTAAACCAGATCTATTTCTAGGCTTGTTTATATTTTTAATCTACTATACTTTTGTTTGAATCTGTTTATTCCTTTAGAATTTGAAGGTTCAAAAAATAAAAGAGCTTACCGATTATTGAGTGTATAGAAGTTAGCAAATATTTCTGGACCCTCTCAAACATTTATTTCCATAAGCCAACTTCTGGGTTTGAGAAAACCTGTGTCACCCCAAACTGGTGGGTTAGAATAGAAATTACTATTTTTTCTGTTTTCTTATCTAGATTAAAAACTTGTGCATATTCTAATTCATTTTTACTTTGATAGATTCTAATATAACAAAATTATTTATCCTGAAATTGCATCAATAGAGGGGAAAGCACGAAGGGTTTTAAGGTCTCATATTTATCACTCTTGAATAAGAATAGCTGGATGCTGACTTCAAGTTTTATTTGAAAGTTCAAAGTTCTAAATTTCAAAGCAAGCCCACCTTAAGATCTCATTTGGTGACTGGTGAAAACTTCCATGATCTATTTCATCTTCATAGCTGTGGCGCACATGTGGTTAGGCAGGGAGAAGGGAAAAGACAGGAGGTGTGGGGAGTTTTGGTGAGAGGAAGTTTAATGTCCTACTGGATCATCTTCTATCTAGGGACAATAAGAACTCCTGTGGTCTAGGTACTTATGATGCTAGGGTCTACTATGAAAAGATTTTGAGAGCATCTCTGTAATTTTGAATTAGGGCAACTAAGTCTCCTAAAGAGTGAACCCAAGCTTTGGACCCAATATGGCTTTACAAAATCATCTAAACTACAAATAATCTGTTGATAGCACAATGGTGAATCCCTAAGTTTAGATTAATTTAGATCAAAATCCTATATTTGAGCCAGTTTTGAACAATGAATGATGTTTATTCAATTTGTTCTATTCATTGTTTGTTATAAATGGCTTTACAAAATCATCTAAACTACAAATAATCTGTTGATAGCACAATGGTGAATCCCTAAATTTAGATTAATTTAGATCAAAATCCTATATTTGAGCCAGTTTTGAACAATGAATGATGTTTATTCAATTTGTTCTATTCATTGTTTGTTATAATGTACACATTTCTCACCCTCACAAAGATTTAAGCAAGGATGAAATAAAATTCAGAAGCAAGTATTCTTTTGTCTAATGTAAATGAGGAAAGTATACCATTCTCTTCACTGAATTCTAGAGCATTCTTCAGTATTTACCTCAAATCAAGCTAGATTCTTTTTTTTTTTTTTTAATAAGAAAATTTTAATCTTAAAAACAAATTCTTTAAGTTTTGGAAAATATTCTGAAAGTTGGATCAAAGGGATATTTGAGCTATAATACATGTTAGAGTAAGAATACAAATAAAATATTACATTCAAAGAAGAATGAATTAAAGCATAATTTAAAATGTATAAAAGTAATGCCACAAAAGCTAAGATCCCTCTAACTCTTTATCTGAGAATTAAAATTCCTCCATAATTAACCAGAATTTTCTAACACTGTAGTTAAATAAAATTCTAGCAGCTTAAAATAAACAAAAAGACAAAGACAGCAGGCAATGCTATGAAAATGACAAGAAAAAGAAAACAGAAGATTATGAATCAAGTTATATACAATCCTTATAGAGTAGAAAATATTTACACTTTATCCCTCAAGATATACAAAACATTTTTCATTTCCAGAGGTTAAATACTAATAAGAGAAAATGTCAATACATCATTTAAAACTTGCTACTATAAAATTAAAATTTTTAAAAAGTTATACCCTGTACTTAGAAGTAGGTAGGTTGACATCAAGGAAAGAAGTATGCTAAACAACCGCTGAAAGAGAATCGTAGAACTCAGTAGTGGCAGAACCAAGGAAGAGGCTGCAATAAAACAAAGCAGGTCATCTGTTAGTACAAAAGACACAAAAAAATGTTAGTTTAGAAACCCTGAATAAAATATTATCACTTATGGCATTTCATTGTTTGTGTGACCTTTAACGTGAGGCTATATTTGCCCTACTCATTTCTTTAGGAAATCAGAAACTTTATTTTTTTTTTTTCCCTTTTTGTCTTTTTTACTGACCGGTAATGGGATCGCAACCCTCAGTGTCGTGCCCGCACCGGTGACGGGCAATGGGATCGCAACCCTCGGTGTTGCGCCCGCACCGCGCTCAGCCAGTGAGCGGGAACCGGTCTCCACATGGGATCCGAACCCTCGGCGGGAGCGCCGCCGCACTCCCAAGCGGCGCACTCTCCAGTGCGCCACCGGGCCGGCCCAGAAACTTCATTTTTTAAACTAAAATTATATTTCATTGTTTCAACTATATTTTGGTTTAAGTAACTCCGATTTTCTCAATTTATATTCAGCCTAGATCACTATAATAATACTAACTCTAAATGAATAATTTGTTATTTTCTAATTACTCGAGATTCAGCAACTCTTCTCTTAATGAGGCATTTATGTCTTAGTTCAAAGACAATTTACTCCCCAGAAACTGAATTTTCCCAATCCCCTCCTCCTCCAAGTTTTCCCACTGTAAAGTATGCATTAACAGTTGCCATGTGCCACTTGGAAAACTGGAAACAGTAGAGAACGACTTCACCATACCTAAGAGTCAAAACGAGAGTAATCTTAATAAATGAAGTAATCTTTCCCTACAGGATAAGAAAAGCAACTACCTCAGTGGAAGAAGAGCAGATGAAGAGGAGTGCAATAAAACATAAAACTCTATTTCTATTTTTTGGAAAGGAAATGTGCATAACTTCTTAATCCCCGCCAGAGTATGGAGATAGACAGCTTGAGATGGAATCCTAGCTGAATCACTTATTATTAACTGTTTAACTGTGGGGCAAGTCTGTTAACCCATCTAAGCAGAAGTTTACCCATCTGTCAAAGAAAGATAACATTAAAAAATTGTTGTGAGGTTTAAATGTAATTTCAAGGCTAGTCAGTTAGCTCACTTGTGAGAGCATGACGCTGATAACACCAAGGTCAAGGATTCGGAACCCATACTGGTCAGCTGCCCAAAAAACAAAATAAATACAATAAAAAAATTTTAAAAGTACATATAATTTCATCTACAAAATGTTCCCTGAGCACAGTGCCTGGAGATAGTACTTAGTAACTGTTAGCTACTATTATTACTACTTATAAATTAAATGTAAAGACAATTTCATTCAAAGTCAAATCACACTGCAAGATTTAAGAATATGTAAGTTATATTTCTAACACCCATAGATAAGTACCTTCTGACTTTTTTCAGATGTGTAGTTCCAAAAATGTTATCATCACCTGATACATATTTTAACTGAAAGAAATAATGTTTCAATATTTCTTATTTTTAAAGTCAGTTCAAATGAGAAGTCTTCTGTAAAACTGTAAATATTTTCTGTCCTTGTTTTAGTTTCATCTAAAGGATTGATAAGGTGCTAAATGATAAATAAGAGTCCCTCCTCTGAACCCCATTCTGGTTAGAACCAGTTTTATAACACATAACCCATTTGGAGATCATAGCATATAAGCAAAAATGCTCATTGGAGCTAGACCATGAAGTATCAGTGCCTGAAAGGGATCTCTAGAGAAATTGATGACTTAACTATGAGTCAACTATTTCATGTCTTTGGTAGATATTCTCTAGTACCTAGCTCTATCAATCCCAAGGAGGGAATCTGTTGTTTAAAATATATGCCCAGAGTGACATTTATGTGTTTGAAGAACAACAGCATAGAGTGATTCTGAACCTCCTCCTTACCCTTTCAAAACAATGATAAAATCAATGAGGACAATAAATGAAATTATACAGGATACTCCAAATATGGAAAGAAGCAGAGGGAGTATTATATCATAAGCATGTGTGTTCTATTACCACATAAGAAAATATGACAGAATAGAGATCAATCCTAAGAGTCATATTAGTACAAATAAATGGGCTCAACTTGCCTTTTTTAACTTTGAGCTTTTGTTTTTTTAGCAGGTGGCCATTAGAGGGATCAGAACCCTTGACCTTGGGCCGGCCCGGTGGCGCACTGCTACAGTGCGCAGCTTGGGAGTGCGGCGGCGCTCCTGCCGAGGGTTCGGATCCCACATACAGACCGGTTCCCGCTCACTGGCTGAGCGAGGGGCGGGCACAGCACCGAGGGTTGCGATCCCGTTGCCTGTCCTGGTCCAGTGCGGGCGCGACACTGAGGGTTGCGGTCCGTTGCCGGACACGAAAAAAGACAAAAAGGAAAAAAAAAAAGAACCCTTGACCTTGATGTTTCAACTTGATTTTTTTAATTAAAAGAAAAAAATTTTCAAATTGGTGCATAAAGCAAAACCTAACTCTGCTGAATGCAAGACCCAGACTTAAAACACAGTGGTTCAAACTGACTAAAAATAAAAGAATGGAGCAGGCAAATGGAAACAGTAAGAAATCCAAGGGTCCAGTTCTAATACCAAACAAATACTTCAGGACAAAAACAATAAGCAAGGCAAAGAAGAACACCTTATGAAGTTAAAAGCCACATTCCACAGTTATGATGTAACCGTTATGAGTCTTTTGCTCCAAACAACATAGCACCACCCATATAAAACAAAAATTACAGGAGATGCAAAATGTATAGAAATATACTAATAACAGAAAAGTTTAACACACTACTCTCAATACAAGAGGATAAATGGACAAAAAAAATGAGTAAGGATAGAAAACGACATCACCAACAAGTAGAGATTCTGGATATATATTGAATATTATAGTCTCATAATAAAGAATATACCTTCTTCTCAAGTAAACACGAAATATTCACAAAAAACTGATCATATACACTAAGGCACAAAGACAATACAAGTAGATTCCATGAAGTAGAAATATTATAAAAACCCTCTCAGATACAATGCAATAAAACTCGTAATTAAAAATGAAACTAGGCTGGCCAGCAGTTAACTCAGTTGATTAGAGAGCACAGTACTAGTAACACCAAGATCCAGGGTTTGATCCCTGTAACAGCTAGCACTCCTCCCACTCCCCCCCCTAAAAAAAAAACTAAACTAAAAAATAAAATGCACTTCCACCTGAAAATTCAAAACTTTCTATTAAACAAGTCTTGGGTGAAAGGAGAAATACAGAAAGTATAGAATTTCTTTAAAATAATGGTAACCAAATCACTGTATCAGAATTCATGGAATATTTTCTCAGTGATCAGAAGGAAAGATGGAACTTTAAACAAACATAAGAATGAAAATGAAAGGACTAAATTTAAATTCCTAATTCAAAAAAGCAAGAAAAAAAAGAACAAAAAAGTAAACCAAAAGAGAGCTGAAGGAAGAAAGTAATTTTAAAAAAATCAATGAGGTAATGAACATAAATTAATAAATCAAAATCCAGGTTCTTTGAAAAAATAAACAAAAAAAGACAAACCACTACCTAAGTTAATCAAGGAAAAAAGAGAAAACATCAAATATACAAAATAAGAAATGGTAAAGAAAATGCCTAATAATACAGAGGGAATTTTTAAAAATCATAAGAGACTACTTTGCATCTCTCTATGCAAACAGATTTGAAAATCTAAAAGAAATGGATAATTCCTTAGGCAAATACAGTTTTCCAAAACTGACCCCAGTACAGACAAAAAGCTTTAAAAAACCAGTTTCGGATAACAGATACAGAAAGTTATCAGGGAACTACATAACAAGAAAGGACAATGTTCAGATAGTTTCATGGGGGAATTCCTTTTTTTAAATTTAAATCATGATTTATTTCACAAGCGAATTCTTCCAAGACTTTATTGACCAGATAGACCTGATGCTAAATAAATTATTCCTGAATATAAAAAATAAAAGAAAACTTCAAAATTCTTTTTATGGAGTGGGTATAATATTGATACCTAAACAATATATATGGAACAAAAAATAAAAGACTGATATAATTTATGAATGCTGATGAAAAAATCTTAAATAAATATCAGCAGACTCCAATATAAATCAAGAAAATAATATACTATAATCAAGTGTGTCTTAGGGGTTTGTTTATAGCAAGAATGCAAGGATGGTTTGATACCAGAACATCTATTAATATTATTCACCATATTAATAGGCCCAAGTAGAAAAACCATATTATCTCCATAGATGCTGAAAAAGCCTTTGATAAAATTCAACACCCGTTCCTAAGAAAATGTCTGAATAAAACCAGAATGCACATACTTACTATAACATGACATAAAGATATAAAGATAGATATGGAGTGATAACCAGGAGATATTATTAAGAGAGAGAGAAAGAGTGTGTGTATGTATAAAGTTAAATATATATACACTACAGTTCTAAAGCAAACATCTTCCTTAATGGGGGAATGCCACGAGTATTCCCACTAAGGTCAGGAAAAAGCAATGAGGTCTACTATCTCCACTATTTAACATTATTCTGGAGGTACTAGCCAATGCAACTAAACAAATACAAAAACAAAAACAATCAGAGGTATAAAAATAGGAAAGGGGGAAATAACACTATCTGTATTTGTATCTGGCATGACAGTATACCTGGGGAATTCTAGAGAACCAATAATAAAGCTAACTCAACTCTGGGCCGAGCCCGTGGCGCACTTGGGAGAGTGCAGCGCTGGGAGCGCAGCAGCGCTCCCGCCGCGCGTTCGGATCCTATATAGGGATGGCCGGTGCGCACTGGATGAGCGCGGCGCAGCCAGTCTCAAAAAAAAATGACAAAAAAAATAAAAATAAAAAAATAAAGCTAACTCAACTCAAAGAATTCATCAAAGAAGTAAGGTATAAATTAATCAACAACAATCAATAGCAATTATATAAAATAAGAACTAATTACAATATACAATAAATGAGAAAAACCATTTGCATTAGCAACAAAAAAAGATAAAATATTTAGAAATATATTA